CATGCAAGCCTAGCCATCAGCAGCAACAGGGACAGACACCAAGAAGACTTGGCTGCCCAAAGCCACCCAAAACCTGGCAAGAAACCACAGAGGCTGGTGGGTCATGGCCTTTTTGTCCCCACAAGGCTGTTTACGAAACTACCGCCAGACAAAGCCACCAGCCTCTGGCAGGATCCCAATTTACCCATTTGCATCTTTGCAGAAGGGATTAGAGGGAGCCCCGTTGTCCGTTGTCCGGGTGTCACTCGGCGCCTTTGAAAGCAGATGACTTCATCCGCTTTCATGGCCCTGCTGCCTTCCAGTAATTAGATTTGCTCCTGATTTGGTACAACGACAGCAGCTTGGCGGCAGGGGTGAGGACGCTAGCCAGATTTTGCTCCCCCTTTGCAAGCGCTCAGTTATAGGACTGATGATGGTCCCGGTGTAAAAAACACCAGGTACCATAGTGGATGCGTTGCCTCTGTGCAAGCAAAGCCATGTTGGGTCCCCGCATGGTACTGCTGCTAGAGCCAGGCTGTCAAAGCAAAATATCATTGCCTCTGGAGCTGATTTGTCATTCATAAGCATTTTGGGTGCAAATAGTCCTTCCTAGGGATGGCTCCGGTTAGCCATCCTCTTTGGCAGCTATTGCACGCTCCTGCAAGCCTCCTAGGAGCGGTTAAAGGCAGGGCCCTGCCAAGGTTAATTCAGTTAGTGTGCTGCTAACGGGCGTAGCTTGTCCTAGCACCAGTCCCTAATGAGCAGCTCATTTGAATCCATGCAAAGTACCAGGGAGCATGGAGACATGCTAATTAAAGTGACTGCTGCTCTGTAATTAAGCAGCAATTCCCCCCCCCCCCCCCCCCAAAAGAGGGCTTTATCATGCAAATAGCTCCTGCTTGGGTGATGTAAGGGCTTGCGGCAGCAGCTGGGTCTCCCTAATGGGCTCAGGGGGCATCGATGTGGCAAAGCAGAAGAAAAGAAGCAAATTATACCATTCCCCGCCAAAATCTTCTCCTGCAGAGGCTTTGCTGTGCAACAGGGCTGCGGGGGTGACAGGGGCACACCGGCACGCGGCGAGCTCGCCCAGGCTGCTTCCCAAGCTCAGCCCCTTCACTTCCCTGTTGTTTTTCCCCCGCAAAGAGTAATTATCCCCACTGGATGTCAAGAGCCCTGTTATTTTTTGTTTTCAAATCCTGGCGCGATTGCAGCGTGACAAAGCGCATCTGGTTTTTATACGAGTGGGAAATGCTTTCTAATAATCTCCACGACAGCTTGAATAATGGGAATCTGGAGTCATCCCAACAGGCCAGGCCATCCATGTGGCATCAGGGAGGAAAACAATGAGTGCCTCCAACTAGAGCTTGGTTAGGTTATTCCTGGTGTTTATCTTATTCCTAGTGTTTATTATTCCTAGACTGGGGAAGTTTTATATTAGAGCCACTGAATTTGAGGGCTGATGGATCCTGCTATGGGAGAGGCCATCTTCCATCAAGGCCATCTTCCATCAGGGCCATCTTCCATCAGGCACAACTTCCATCAGGGCCATCTTCCATCAGGGCCATCTTCCGTCAAGGCAATCATCCATCAGGGTCATCTTCCATCAAGGCCATCTTCCATCAGGCACAACTTCCATCAGGGCCATCTTCCATCAAGACCATCTTCCATCAGGAACATCAATTAGAAGGGCCAAAGCTCAACTTGAATTCAATTTGGCTAGTGCAGTAAAGACAATAAAGTTATTTTATAAGTACATTAACAACAAAAGGAGGACTAAGGAGAATCTCCATTCTTTACTGGATGTGAGGGGAAACACAGTGATGAAAGACAAAGACAAGGCTGAGGTACTCAATGCCTTTTTTTACCTGTCTTTATTCACAAGGCCGGTTATTCTCAGGGTACCACCTATATCATCTGAATGTTCTTAAGTCTATGGGGCTGTACAGGATCCACCCAAGGGTACAGAAGGAGCTGGCAGAAGTGCTCACCAAGCCACTTTCGATGATTTACAGCAGTCCTGGCTAACTGGAGAGGTCCCAGTTGACTGGAGATTGGTCCACCTTCAAGAAGGGCTGGAAGGAGGACCCAGGGAACTACAGGCCTGTCAGTTTGACCTCAGTGCCAGGGCAGGTCATGGAGCAGATCATGTTGACTGCCATCACACAGCACATATTGGATAACTGAGTGGTCATAAGCATGTGCTTATGAAGGGCAGGTCCTGCCTAACTAAACTGATCTCCTTCTGTGACAACATGACGCACCTAGCGGATGAGGGAAAGGTGTTGGATGTTGTCTGCCTGCACTTTAGCAAAGCATTTGACACTGTTTCCTATGGCCTTCTCATGGAGGAACTGGCTGCTCGTGGCTTGGACAAGTGCATGGTTAGTCAGGCTCAAAGAGTCCGTGTGAAGGGGCTTAAATCTGGTCAGTGGCTCGTCAACATGGCACTCGCCAGGGCTCAGTAATAAGGCAAGTTTGTTTTCACGTTAATCAATGATCTTGATGAGAGGATCAAGTGTGCCCTCAGTTTGCAGACAACTCCAAGTTGGGTGGGAACACTGATCTGCTTGAGGGCCGGAGGGCGCTATGGGGGGGTCTGGGTGGGACCTGTGTAGGCTGGATCTATGGGCCATGTCCAGCTGTATGGCCTTCAGCAAGGCCAAATGACATGTACCACAGCTGGGGCACAACAACCCTGTGCAGCGAGACAGCCTGGGGGAAGAGTGGCTGGAAAGCTGCCCAGAGGGATGCTGGTCAAGAGCCAGCCAAACACGAGCCCGTGGTGTGCCCAGGCGGCCAAGAGGGCCAAGGGCCTTCACCCTGGACTCCGTGAAAGGAGCTTGCAGCGAGGAGGCTGCCAGTCAAGTGTTAGGCCTCAAGTTGTGCCAGGGGAGGTTTAGGTTGATCACAAGGAGGGTGATCAAACATGGGAACAGTCTCCCAAGGAAGTGGTGGAGTCTCCACCCCCAGGGGGGTTTAAGACACATGGATGTGGCATAAGGGATACGGTTTTGTGATGGGACATGATAGGTGATACTGGTGGTTGGACTTGATGATCTTGAAGGTCTTTTTCAGCCTAAATGACTTATGACTCTATGATTTTCCAACAGAGCCCCCTTCCACCAGGGCCGTCTTCTATCATGTCCGTCTTCTATCACAAACACCTTCCATCAGGGCCATCTTCGCCACTTGTATTTAGCCCTCGCCAGCCATCAAATATGTGTCAGAGATCGAGGTTATGCCATCTCAGCCATCAAAGCAGTGTGGTGTCTTCCAGGTTCTTCCCAAATTCTCAGCGGAAACTTCTCTGCAGGGCCATGCTTGAGGCTTTGGCTCTTCTGGCAGGTGCCAGCCTTTTGGTGACTCCGTATCTCCTGCTTATTCCACTTTCCCTGACCATGCAAGGCGTGTGTGTAGTGATTTAACTCACCACCTGACTCATACTTTGTTTTGGGCGATTTCTTCACTAAAAAACATTTCCACCTGACCCCAGCTCTCCAGGGAAGGTGCCCGCACCCACCCTGTTCTGGCAGCTTGGGGACTTTGAGTGTTTTCTCTCTCTCTCTTTTTTTTTTTTTTTTTTTTTTTTTTTTTTTCCCTTTTGCACTTGTGGAAATAATTACGTCCTGCAGGAAACCTTTGCATGGATAAAATTAGGGCTGGTAAACACAGGGTAGCACAGCCTGTTGGCCTCCCAGGTTTACCCAAAACTCCACAAACTGAGGCCTTTTCACATGAAACCCTTCCTGGGCAAAAGTCCCTTCTCCAGCCCACAACCGCCACATGCAGGCCCAACCTAAATTTAGCAGAGCAAGTCCAAAAAGAGGTCATTTTGGGCAACATCCCTGCTGGCCTTGACAAACAGCCTGTTGGAAGGGGCTGGGAAAAGCAGTGAAGGGTTTGGGCGCAGTGCAAGAGATGGAGCCGTAACGCCCTGGTTCAATGTTTAATTCCAAAGATTAGGTTTAATGCTGGGCAATTTAGTGAGCTGTTAATATTAAATTACGCTGCAAATGATGGGAGCTTCCCGAATGCTTAATATGATCTTCTTGCGGTTTGCGTTTGGACGTGTTCCAAGCCCAGATAAGCCCACTTTTGTTGGTTTTAGTGCTGTCTGCCCAAGCAGGGCTTTTTTTTTCGGCGTTATCTGTTGGAGGATCACGCACAGAGCATGTGTGCAGAGTGGAGGAGCATTTCCAGCCCTGCCTGGCCCCGCTCTCTGGAAAGGCTCAAGCAACTCCCCCTCTGCAGCACGACGCTCCTGCAGAGCTCCCATGCCAGAGCCTTCATACTGCTTTTTAAGCCCCACGGTTTGCAACTCCAGCTCCTGCCTGGCTGAAAAAAACTCTGCAGTGCAAGGGCAGAGAGGTGAGTCGGGCAATGCAGGGGCTTGCAGCAGGTCCCGAGAGGCCTCACGGGTGTGTGAGCAGCCTTGGCATGGGGATGCCCTTTGCATGGGGGCACGGAGAGGCGTGGGGCACGGGGGGAGCTTTGCATGGCGCTCAGGCACACATTTTCCCTGCTGCAAACAAGTCCCCACTCGCACGGGGCACATGCAGACACCGGGTGCAGGGGTGAAGTTTGCACGGGTGCAGTTTTCACAGGCACAAACGCTGCGTGCTGCTCGGCGCCTGCACTCCTCATGCCGCAAGCAGCCCCCGCCCGGGCTGTGTGTGTGTGTGGGGGGGGGGGGGGGCACACGAAGATGCGGGCGCGCACAGGTGAAGCCTGCAGGGGTGGCAGCCGCAGATCCCAGCACTACTCGGGAACGCGCTTTCCACGCCACGACCGCGCGGGGCTCAAGGAGCGCGCTCCGAGCCCCCCCCCCCCCCGCGTCCCCCCCCCCTCCCCAGCCCGGTGCGGAGCCCCCGGGGCCGCGCGCGCCCCTCCCGCCCCGCCGCGGCGCGCGGCCCGCCCCCCTCCCTCCCCTCTTCGCCTTAAAGGGCCCGCAGCCCCTCCGCCCCGCTGCCGCCCGCGGGGGCCGGCGCCGCGCTCCCCCCACCGGCCGTTGGTACGCTCCGCGGGGCGGGGGAGGCGCGGCCGGGGCCGGCGGCGGCGGCGGGCAGCGGGCGGTGCAGGACGGAGGCGCCCGGCCGGGTCGCCCGCCCCGCCTGGAAGGCGCCGGCAGCGGGGGGCCGGGCCCCGAGGTACGGCGGCGGCGGGAGCGGGGCGGCGGCACCTGAGCGGGGCTCCCGGGGACGGGGGGGGGGCGGGCACCGGGCACCGAGCCCCGGCGCTCCCCCCGCGGAGGCAGGGAGCGGGAGCGGGGCGCTGCCGCGGCAGGTGGCGGGCGGGCGGACCCCGCTCCGCGGTGCCCGTGAGCTGTGAGGGGGACACCGGGGCTCCGGTGCGCGCTCTGTGCTCGCGTGGGGCTGCGCCTCGTGCCCCCCACACCGGGGGAGAACCGAGTGGGGAGAGCCCCGGCTGCTGGGGGAGGGGGGTCCCGGCAGCGGGCTCGGTACCCCGAGGGGTGCCGGCAGCCCGCAGAGCGGGGCTCCTGCTTGCTTTGGCGCGGGGTTGTGCCGGAGGAATAAGGCAGCTGTGCTGCAGCCTCAGGTGGCGTCACTGGAGGGTTTTAACTGTCAAAGCGTAAAAATACACTGGCTTGTGTACAGGCTGCTTCTGCAGATGTGGAAATTGTGAAGTAAAGCAACTGCTGCCCTTGCATGAGCACAGAGCTGTGCTGGCGTTCGTCATCTCGTGAATCCTCCTCTGCGTGCTGGGCTGCACCAAGACCTCTGGAGTGCGTTTGGTGGCTCTTGGGATAGGATCCTGCTCCAGGCACCTCCCTGAGGTATAAGGACAGCAAAGCTGCAGCCTCCAAAAAGCCTAGCTGGGAGGCGTGTGGTGCCTGAGCCATTTTCGGGATGAGGCTGTTTGCTGAAGCAGTGCCTGGTGCTGATGGGGATGTCGCCAACTGTGCAGTGCTGGCACGGTGCGTGCCATGGGAAGCTGTTTGCCCAGGCAGCAGCATCTGAGCGGCAGTTTGCACGTGTGTGTGTGTGTGTCACGCTGCTGTGACGTGAGCTGTATGAGAGACGTTTAATGTGTGGAGGTGGCGTGAGCTATTTTTCGTTCTGGATGTGAGCAGGTACTAGGCTTCACCTGGCTTGCCTGTCTCTTGCACCAGGCCTGCTCCTCATGCTGCCTGTAAGTTTGTTTACTTGTTTCCTCTTGTAAGGTCTGTTAACGTGCACTGGGAAACCTTTGCATCTGTAACTTTTCCATGCTTAAGATGTGAATCTTGGGTGTTGTTTCTTCTTTTGAATACAGCGCTGTGGTCCTGAGTAGCGGTCTCTGTGTGTTCCAGCTCATGTGGAGGTGGCTGTTTGCTGTGATCTGCTGGCACTTCAGTCCAGCGTGCTGGTGCCACTTGTGCTGTGCCTTCTTGGGCATACAGACATGCGAAACTACATTAAGATGCGTTTTGTTTTGTCTCATTTATTTTGATTGCCTCAGGTCCATAGTACCCTGTCCTGTGACTGCTGTTAGGTCTGTGTGACAGCTGTGGATTTTGCTGCTGTTGAATGTGGTTCCAGTGGGGCTTAAAACACTTAAATTTAGTGTGTCTCTCGAGGAAGCCTTGAGACTGGGACTTCTCCCTCAAACCTGTGGAGATCTGGTGTTTCAGATCACGTTTTATGTGGAACCACTCTGGTTGGCATGCTGCATGCAGCTTATAAACCTGCCTAATGGCCTTAGACAACATGGAACTTGCATGAATGGGTACTGGAGACCTGACCCTTCCGTGTACAGTTTGTGTCAACTGGTTTGCTTACACTCTGTGGACTTGTGAGTGGCTCTGCTTCAGCTGAGTCATGTAGCTTTCTCACCTGCTGCAGTATTTCTCTATCTGGTTTCTGTTTTTCCAGTGGTCCAGGGAGCTTCTGAACTGAATCCTGTCTGTAATTGGGGTAAGGCTGGTCAAAAATGATTGTTTATGCTGCTTAAAATCTTGTTAACTTTTTTAACCTTATGTTGTGAGTAGAACCTCTATTTTCCAAATGCAGAAGAGAAGTAGACTGAATTACTTCCCTCTTCCTGCAGCGTTTAATGCTGCGTAATGAAGTATCCTATTGCTTGAAATTTTGTTTTTAACAAAAAAGCCCAGCATCTGTAGCACATTTTCTTTGTTTGGAGTCTTTGGTCTCTTCAACTTTCTCTGATTTAACTGACAGCTTGCTCTTATTTACACACAAGTTTTCAGATACAGATGATGTCTCAGTCCTTCTAAGACCAAACAAGTAGAAGTACTTGGGAAAAGATGCCATTGCATGTTTGGGAATCTAGCATTAACATCATATAGTTGACACTGATCAATTCTGCTTGTACCAAGTGTAGTTCATCAAATTTTATCTTTAAATGGAACTTCCAGCTTTCCTAGCAATACTTAAAGCTGGTATGTGGGGACTGAACTGTGTTCTCTGTATGCTTCTTTGCTATTTTGGTCTGATTTGTTAATGGGTTGCTGGCACCAGGTCTGTTCTTGAGGCGTATTGCTGTGGCATGCTGACGTCTCGCTCTGGGGTATTGTCTTTTGCTGCTGGGACCAGAGGACTCAGCGCTGTCTCACTCCCTTGCTGTGCTTGCCCAGGCCCAGTGGAGTGACCTGCGTGGTTCTGCAAGATGTTCTGTAGCGTAACATCTCTGCTGTTGACTTCAAAACCCCGCCTGAACTTGTTGTATCTCATCCTTCTTGCTCCAGGGAGATATCTTCCCTCTTCCTGCACCTACTCCTCCAGTTTCCACGGCAAATTCAGCATGAAGGCTTCTTGAGTTAACACGAGTAGTCTCCAATTACCCTGTCTCAAGAATTTTTGGAATAGATAGTTGCCTGTGTGTGTGCGTACTTTGTTGTTTGAGTGTTCTTCCAGTAATTTCATTGCTAGATGGCTTAGTGCCTCTTCCAGGACTGAGCGTGTCATAGTTTTCCACTCAGCTTCCCCAGCTTGTCTCCCTGTTTCAGTGCTGGTTATCCTGTGGCGGTTGTCCCTGCAGGGTAAGAAACTTTTTTCTCCCTCCTAGGGAATGAGTTGTGCATCCACACAGCCTGTCTTTCCCATTAAGCCCCTGTTTGCTCTTCCTATATGAGAAATACCTGCTGTCTTTTAGCAGCGGGGAAAACGATCACACAAGGTGGGTTGCTTTCCGATTCCCATTCCTATGAGCTGCCTGAGCTCCTCTGGCCAGGTTGAGGCCTCTTTTCCCCCTCTCTGGCTCCTCGGGCACAGCCTCGCACAGTGGGATGCTGCTGGTGCCTGCCTCCCCCAGTGGGGTCTGGCTGCAGGGGCTGACTGCAGCTTGCCTGCAGAGAGCAAGCCCTCAACTGACCACTTCGGGGACCCGCCATGCAGCTAGGGAGCTGCCGAATCCTCCACGCTGCTTTCTGGAGAGACCTCGTGGGGGGGGGGCTGCAGGAGTGGGGGGGTGGGCCCTTCTGGCAGCAGCCGGTTTTTAAATTGGCTTAGCTGTCTCATAAAGCTGTGCTCTCACGGCCTCGCTGGATGCTGTAGCTGCAGCTGAGCGAAGGGCTGGTTGCCTTGCTGAGGGGGAGGGCTTGCTGTTCCCCCATCTTCTGCCCCTTGCTCGAAATGCCCCATATTAACCTGTTCAGCTCGCTAAAATGGCAGGGGGGGAAAAATCCACCAAAAACCAGAGCAAGATAAGCCAGCTCAATTGGAATATTTTTTCTTATCCACCTTGGCAGCTGGGGGCAATGCCAAAAGCAGCAGGAGGGACTGAGGGACTGGCGGCGGGGGGAGCAGAGCGTGCCGGGGGCATGAGACCATCCCTTCTGGCAGCAGCGGGCCTTCAGTTCGGCTTAGCTGTAATGTGAAACCGCACCCCCTGCCTCACCTGTCTGTCTGATCATGCCTTTGATTTATATGCTAGATTTTGCTATTTAGTTTTCCCCGCAGACTTTAACCATTGTATCTGATAATGAACCAAGTGGTTGAGCCTTATTTGTTTAATTCAAAGACGAGTTAATAGTTCCTACCTTGGAGTTGTGCAAAGTCTGCCTTGCAGACTTTGGTTTTCCTTACGGTGAACCTGCAAAAATGCCCAAGGAGGGGGGGTGGGGGGATGGGGAAGCACTTGTGCCGTGAGCAGCCTGGTGCTGGAAGATGGGATCTGTGATGGTGTAAGGCGTGCTCCTACAGCTCGCTGTGGCATCCTGGTGGTGCTCACAAAGATGCAGCCTGGTTCCCATGTGGGACAGGGGCACTCCAGGGGCTCAGCCAGGCTGAGGGCAGTGCAGTGAGCATAGCAGGGGAAATGCCATGGGTTTTGGCTGGCTGCAGCAGTGGTGCTGGGTGTCCTTGGTGCCTTCTGGCTTGCAAGGCTGAGCTGCTGTGTGCTCAGCTGGTAGGCATGCTGACTGGGTTGGCCTGGTACGACCATCCTGCAGCAGGCTACGGCATTGAACTTGTATGTTACTAGCTAAATATATACCCAATAACTGTGTCTGGCCTTGATGCATCAGCTCAAGCAAAAGGAGTCTGTGCTGCCCCTCTGTGGGAAGGGGCTGGGCACTTCTGGCTTGCGTTGTTGGGGTGAAATGTGTTTTGTGGGTTGAGTTCCCTGCCCAATGGGTTGGCAGCTGCAGTGAGGTGAGGGGCTTTTCTCCAACCCCCATCCTCCCTCATGGAGGTATTTCGTGGATGCCCCCGATTGTTCTATGTCATCTACGGAATCGCTGGAGGATGGCTGGGTACTGGAGGTTGCATTCCTACTGCAGTGTCTTTAGTTCCCGTGTGGACACCCTGTGTTGGATGGCAACCTGTTCTGGTGGAGGTGTAGCTGGAGATGCTCCAGTTCTTGGAAGGGGATGGTACTTGGGGTTTTCCTGTCACAGTTCTCACCCAGTAAAATAAACCGTTCGTTTAGCTAAAAGGCCTCACTCCAGAGAATCTTAAGAGGAATGATTTCTTCTTTTGATGCTCCAGTTTAGAAGGTGACCCCATGCGACTGCTCCTCTTGTGGGAATGAGTCCAGTGTGGGGATCTGCAGCTGAGGGCGGTTAACGTAACCCCTTCTGAAGCAAACCAAAGGTGACTTTTCTGGGTTCAGATCCCCCAGCTACTTCCAGATTGACCTAAGCTAGGCTTTCCCAAGTAAAGTTACTGTCATTAGGTGGTATTTTTTT